ATTATTATTATTATTATTATTATTATTATTATTATTATTATTATTATTATTATTATTATTATTATTATTATTATTTTTATTTTTATTTTTATTTTTATTTTTTTTATCATTATTTATTAATTATTAATTGATATTATTATTATTATTATTATTATTATTATTATTATTGAGTTTATTGAGTTTATACAATCAACTCAAATAAATAATAAATAATAAACAAATATTGTTAAATAGCATTTAATAATAATAATTTTTTTTTTATATCGTTTAGAAGTTTCTTTTTAGCTGGTTAAATCTTTTTTTAATTTATTAGAGTGGAAGGGATATTGACAAGTTCAATTTCATTATTTTCAGTATACAATTAAAGATTTCTTAACATGTCTTTAGCAGTTTTTTTTTCTTTCTACATTACCAGTTAGAAATGTTTCCTTCAACTTTTCAACCATCTCTAATGCTTTTGCCACTGCCTTTTTACCCCGAATATTTGTTTGCTTTTCAAAGTAAATCCAGGTTTAATGGAGTTGGGGATATCCCAGAACTTTGAGATACTAAATTATGTCGCACGTAAAAAAAGAAGATTCTTTCGGTTTTATGTATAACCGCCCCGTTCCTATCTTTTATTATGTAAACAGGGTTTTAAAAAAATCAAATTCCTTCCTACAATAGTTTTGATAAATTAGTACTAGTTTATTTCTAAAATTAAAATTTTAAAGTGCTTCTTCATAAATTGATTTTTTATAAATAATTTTTGTAACGTAAATTTCGGGATCAAATTTAATTGGATGAGCATTTTATATAAATTTTGTCAATATAAAAAAAATACTATACCAAAATTCCCTTCGACTATTTTAAGGCGGGAATTTGCTATATTAATATTGTTGCATCATCCATTGTGTATCAATTAGTAAAATCCGCATGGTATATTTATTATTATTGTTATTGTAGCAACTTGTTTCTTTGACAATTTTAAACCTCATGTAAAATTAAATTAAAATTTAAAAATATTAATATGGGAATCAAAAAAAAATAAATAAGTCTGCGTTTATAAATAAAAACTCGTATCTCGCATTTTATTTATTATGTATTTGTGTAATAAATAATAAATAAATACATGAAGAAATTTAATTTTTAAAATATTTTTAATTCGAAAGGAGAAAATAATGCTAATTCCATGAACACTTTCTCTAAAGGAAAAAATAAATTTTTTTTAAAAATAAAAGCTTACACTCTTTTTACATCTTTTTTTTCCTTTTCTTATCTTCTTCTCTCCATCCTTAATTAACACGATAATCATAAAAATAATAACATTGTTTATAACAAATAACAGCCAATTAATCTAATGTCTACTGCATCCTCACATTCTTCCTATTCCTCGCCCTATTGGAGTGAGCGTGGTGAACATCGTACAAGTGGAGATAGTGGAATATCATCAGTCTCTGTTATTCATTCCCCAGTATGCATAATTCTCATCATTACCAATTTTCATTACAAGTCCTGCTTGACTGATAACAATTTAATAATAATAAATGTTGTATGTTCTCTCCCTTTTTCTCTACCAGACACGTTTACCAATAGCTTCGAAATTTTCACCAACATCAAGCTCGTTTTCATTTAATAAAAATAATGAATATACTACGGAACATTTAGATACAGATGCAAATTGGTATAGAAAATATTTTTACGGAAAAGGTAATTAATTAATTAATTAATTAATTAATTATCAATTATGGTTATTTTCTAAATTTTTTTATCAATTAATTGCGCATTTATTATATTTTTTTTTTACTTTTTTTTTTTTTTTAGATCATACAACATATGTGGGCCATGTAGAGCCATACGGACCAATTATAGTATCATTGATATTGGATAGTGTTACAATGAATCATAATAATGTTGAGATATATTGGTATAGATATATATTTAGGACAAAGGAAGTGAGTTATCATAATCAACATAGATTATCATTATAACAATAACAATTATTATTGCACTTATTAAACAATTAATTAATTAATCTGTAGTTACCGGATGAAAGAGAGAGAAAGAAAAAGTTCCTGAGTCAATTGATTCGATATATGGGGCATGCTGCAACAAAGTGAACATTTGTGCTATCAAGAATTTCAGGGCCCAAAATTTAGTCATTATCGATTAGGGCTTGGATCCAGATACAAATACAGATATCCTATGCGTTTAATTATTATAGTCATCCATTAGAGTAGAACAAGTATATATCATATCAATGGATTAAACTTTGAAACAATTATAAAGAACAGGTGGAATGCTTGTTTTACATAATGATGATAAATCCGCACAAGACCAAAGAAGGCTACAGAATTGGTTAAGTAGTAAGTCAATTAATTAACGTATATGTATATGTTTATATATTTGATTATATTTATATAGAGATATTATTTGTTGAAGATGCTAAAACAGTCATAGCCTTGTTGAAAGTATTTCAAGAATGATTTGAGGTATACATACTATCAAACGTTATGGGCCAACAGAATATTAAAATAAAATTTTAACGATGTTCGTTTTTTTTAAGCTAAAAGTCATAAAATAATGGCAAACCTCCCCCCCCCCGAAATTTATATGTAGAGTTGTCGAAACCTAAGCCATATAATGATATAAATTTTACGTACTTTCGTTATGTGATATTATTTAAAAAACCTCGTTCGAATACTTATAATAGAAATAACCAATTTTATTGAATATTTTGTGTCTGTTAAACTTGGGATCAAATACACGCTCTAGTCGGACTGGGCACACATATGCGCTGATTTTGTTTGAACCCCAAAATTCAGTACGGTATGTCATAACGTCATGAATACTTTATAATAGCAAAACTTCATTGGTTTTGAGGTGGGCAATTGGTTTGACAGGTTGTTGAATAGTAAAATAGTTTAGGGTTAATTATCATTAAAAATACTCGTGTTTAACGTCGAGTTAAGGTTTGAAAAAAGGACCAAAAAGCCAATAGGTTGATATGATTATATTAAATATAGGGTTTCTTTTCACATATTGAGGTCCACATATATTAGTAAATTTTTTTGTATCTTATTTTTTTCGAAAAAAGGTTAGAACCTATTAACATTAGTATTATTTAAAGGTAATGACGATGATTGGTATGTTTGGATTTAGTGCTGAATGTGAACTAAATCAAATATCAAATACTAATAGTTATAGTCATTCAAGTCTTTTTTTTAATTGTCAAGATTTTAGTCGAATATCATACGTTTTTTTTATCATTAATTATAATAAAAAGATTTTGAAACAGTCACTCTCTATAACGGTCCTTCTGTTTTGGTAAAAAGACCGTTATAGAGAGTATGAATTTGCAATTCATAATCATCAATTCATAACATGATACAAGATTTTTATTTATATTTTTATTTAATAATTAAAAAATTAAAAATAAAATATTATTTGCATTAAATATTTTCAGAGTAATACAATTTTTTTATGTTCAAAGATTGAAACAATTACTATCAATTTTATGCATATACATTTTGAATGTGTGTTAATTCATTGACATCATGAAGTTGGATGGCTGTTCTTATGTCATATGGGGGCGCTCTAGGAAAACGGGTTGAGTAATATATAAAAAAAATTTTTTAATTTTGTTACACGGAAAATATACCTGAAAATTGTTTTACGATTTCCGTGTAATGTTGATCAATAAAGCATGTATTCATTCATTCAACTTTAAATTTTAAATTTTATAGAAAGGTTAAATTATAATAAAAAATTATGAATTAGTGATCTATGGGTCTCCCGTGACTATTAAATTACTAATTCGTGATCCATCAGTGAAGGAAAAGATCTACATAGTAAAATTCCGGCATCATAGTAAAATCAATTAGTGTCCATAATCTGCAGAAATAGCACAATATTTTTTTACATGTAGATTTGTACTTTAAAATTTACTAAATAAAACTCTGAGTATCTGACTATCTTTTTAATTTAAATTTATAAAATAGCTCCAAAATCTCTAAAGTTACATAATCCGGAATTGTTTCGTCTAAAATCAAAACAAATATTATTGGTTAAAACATGCAGATTTTTCATTGAAAAATAATTTACATGAAGAAAAACTTGGCGAGAGCTTTATTAAATGGCCATACAACTTCCAAAATCATGTATTACGTGTATTTTTAACTGCTTTGCAAGGCTACCAAAAAATAGTCAACAATTTCAAATTATAATCATAAAGTTAGCAAAAAATGGATGTCCAGATTTAAAATTCAAATCTAACCATGCCTCTAAAGTTGGTGAATGCAACTGATTTGAAATTCTGCAACCAGTTGTGACCTAGGTTGAAATAGGACCCGAACAATCTTAGTAGATGGTACATTTGAGGTTTAATAGTAAATCACCTTTTCTTTACCCACTTGTTTTAGAAAATTATACCCAGATATAAATATACCATATGTAATTTTTCTTTCCACTAAATTTAAATTTTTATTAAAATATAATTATTTTTTTTCCATAATTATTTTCAATTGATCTTTTACACTATCTTGATTAAAAATTGAAATTGCTCTAAAGCCAACCCATTTAATGTTAATAACCGCATGGTTTATCATGAAATGCAAAATCACCATAACCCAAATAATATATGCAAAAATTGAAGCCAGTGAAATAGTTCCTGATCTTATGAAGAAAGACAAGTGATTTCAAGATGTATAAAAGACTTTTTTAGAATATGGTGATGTTCCTAAATCTAGATATGGTCAACATTTAATCAGAAGCAGTATATTAGATGATGAGGATGTGGGATCCAAAATTAGTTTATATTTAAGAATAAATAAGTTTGATATAACAAATTCTAAATTTTGTGATTATGGGGTCTGATTCATTTCGTCGACAGTCATTTCGTCGACACCCATTTCATCGAAAGTTCATTTCATCGAAAGTTCATTTCGTCGAAAATTATTTCGTCACCTAAAAAAACTTCATTAAACAAATTCTCCTCACACTTCCCACACACACCGCTTTCTTCACTTAATTTCTTAGCTAACTTCCCACACTCCTTACATCTAACTCGTTCGGTCTCTGGCTCGATGATGAAATAATTTTCGACGAAATGAACATTCGACGAAACGAACATTCGACGAAACGAACATTCGACGAAACGAACATTCGATGAAATGAACATTCGACGAAATGAACTTTCGATGAAACAAACTTTCGACGAAATGGGTGTCGACGAAATGATTGTCGACGAAATAATTTTCTAAATGATAAATGATATGATTTTTAGATATTTCATATAATAAATTCAAAAAAATGAATAAAATAAGATAAATTACTTTGAATGCTCTAGGTGATAAATCAAGGTCGCCTTTTTTACACCCATCACACTGATATTGCAGAACATTAAATTATTAATTAATTAATTGATCATTGATTGTTTTTTAAAAATAAAAATAAATAAAATAAAAATACCCTGTCAACTATTTTCACTTTAACACTTCCTTTTGGTCCTGTGACTTTTATACATATGCCACACACTGGTGATTCATCAGAATTAGCAAATTTACCATATTGTTCTTTATTCTAAAGTTTTTTTTTAAAAAAAAACCATTTTCATTATATTATTATATACCAAATTGTTTTAAAAGGAAACAAAATATTACTACTATTTACCATTGCTCCAATTAATTCGTTATCGTAATGTTGCTGTCCACATGCACTAATTGCAACATTCGGATCTTTTTTATTTATTAAAAAATAAATTAATTGATGAATTGACAAAATAACATTATTTTTTTATTTAAAAATAAAACTTACCATAAAAAGTTGCATTGCCTTTTCCACTTAACTGACTGCCAGGTTTACCAGTATCGTCTCTAGAAGAAAATCCACCGACAGCAGCAATAATAATAATAATTAATAAACCAATCAATAATAAAATCAAAAATATTATTATTATTATCTTGTATTTAGCAATCCTGGGAAATTTTTTATCAAACCATGTATTAAAACTTTTTATTTTTAACATTAATTTGGAGAAAAAGGAGGGTTTTTTTGTTTTTTCTGGCGAATTTGATTCTATATCATCATTTTTTTTAAATATATTTCGCATGATTATTGATTTATAAAGAGGTTAGACAGGAAGAATTTGTAATTTTTTTATATTATATATATACCAGTATATATATAATAATTTTTAAAAGAATGCGATTTTTCTTATTCAATAAGAAAAATTTAAATTTTTAAAAATTTTTACAATATTAAAAACCAAAAAAATTAACCGGTTAAATAATAAAAAAAAAAAGACTTTATTTCCATATTTGCATTCACAATTCACAGATGATGTAATCTTTGCATTTTGTTTCGATACATCTCGGTTTTAAAGACATTCTTTGTATTCAATTCATTCCTTCTCTATATAATTATAGTTTTAATTATTATGTAATTGAATGCGCATCTTTTTAAAGTTTGATCCTTTGTGGGCTCGTGTAATATATTAATTAAACGCACGGTCAGAGGAGCCGATCCTTGAATTTTATACTTGTTTAATTTCCTAATAAATAAAACAAATATTAATTAATTCGACTAATTATAAGCATGAAGTTTTAAAAATAACATCAGATCAAACGGATTCATAATAAAACAAATAGAACCATATTTTACCAGTCTTGCTTGAATGTTTCAAATAGTTTGTTATTGTGCAAACAAACGTTTTTTATTATGATGGGCGATTCGATCATGTGATATTATTGTGTAACTAGTACAAATTTCTAAAAAGAAGTTTAAATAAAAGAATCATTGGGGTTAAGATGATGATGAGCATTCAAATGAAAGAAGCGTAAAACACGGAACTTGTAATCGGAATAATGTGATCTAAATTTAGCTATTATTAACTGAAGGATGAACAAGTGGCATGAAACATTAGATGAGTTTGATAGTGTAATAAGCATTTAACAAAATTGTTTAAGGTGGATTTGCAACTATATAGATTACGAAAGAAAAAAAAGAATTAATGAAGAGTGCAGCATTAAAAAAATTACATAATTCACAGAATATTTCTGATGAATTTCTTAATATGAGTTTCAGATGCTTTTCATTATTGTTATTGTTTTTTTTTATTCAAAAATTGATAAATCAAATATGATTACAATTTATGGATTACACACAAGAATATTTGTAATGGATTATATAAATGGATAATTATTATGATTTATGATTTCAAAAGAATTAAAACGAAAAAATAAATCAATATTTTAATAATAAGATTATTTTCCTTCTAAGGATTTTTGCTTTTTGTGGATAATAGCACACTTTCATCCTGCTTTCTTTCCTTAATGCTTATGATTTTTCTTTCTTCTTGGTAAATTTCATAAGTAATACTTTTTTTTCTTAGATAGGCTTCAAGTGTCTGAGTATCATTTATTTTGAAAATGTAAGGAGCAATTTTTTCACCTTGCTCTTTCTTCAAAACACTTCAGATATGGTTGGCTTAGTCTAAAGACCTCTGATTTCTGCGTCACGTGTTCGAATTTCAAAAATAATTATCTTCATTCCTTTTGGTTTTTCTACACGAGAATCACCTGGGAATACCATTTGTTGAACTTTACCATCAAAAATAATGTCCCTCATAGTTGTTTGTCCCCCTGCAAGGCTTAGATTCATTGTAAATGCATTCAATGCATCATCTGTCACTTTAGTATGACTTGATGAATGTTCAAATGCAAATACTGCAATCCTATTAGGATGTGTTAGTTCAAAAATTGGTATGGCCTTGTTAACAATCTAAAAATAATAAATCTAGTTACATATGTAAACTCAATAAGTAATTTAATTCGATAAGTTGGTTTACTTGATAAGTCGGTCATATGAGCTCGCCCCCACATGATCAACTTATTGAGTTTACATATGTAATTATTAATTATCCTTTATTTTGATATTGATCTATTAGCTGTTCAAGATCCCACCAGCCATATGCATTCTTTCAGGACATATGATGACTTGAGCATCATGAGAAAAGTTCTTTTCAACCTCTAATTTTCGTTCATCTGATAATTTAAGTCTACCAATTGTTTCAGTTAAAAAGTCACTTACATGCATTGTTCTCCCTTGACCTTTCTTTCTCAGTGGTTGTTCATTCCTTGGTCTCCAACCTGATTTTTCATCATCATTAGATTGGAATGTTGTTTCATCCTGTGTTCATACATGTATCTTTTCATCTTCTTCCAATTCAGGTTAATTTGAATTTTCCAAATCATCAACAGTGAATTTAGGCATCAATTTCCGGTAACTATTGTATCATTATGATAAATCTAATTAATTAATTGTATATATAAAACAAGAATAAAATTAAAATTACCTTTCAATGACTTCTAAAAATTTCTTTCTATATTCAAAAAAAAAAAATCAACAGTCGCGTTTACTTCGTCGAAAATTATTTCGTCGACAATCATTTCGTCGACACCCATTTCGTCGAAAGTTTGTTTCATCGAATGTTCATTTCGTCGAAAGTTCGTTTCGTCGAATGTTCATTTCGTCGAAAATTATTTCATCCTCAAGCCAGAGACCGAACGAGCTAGATGTGAGGAGTGTGGGAAGTTAATTAAGAAATTAGGTGAGGAAAGCGGTGTGTGTGGGAAGTGTGAGGAGAAATTTGTTTAATGAAGTTTTTTTTTTGTGACGAAATAATTTTCGACGAAATAATTTTCGACGAAATGAACATTCGACGAAATGAACATTCGATGAAACAAACTTTCGACGAAATGGGTGACGACGAAATGAATCAGACCCGCTACGCCAAAGCCAGTTGTCATAGGATAAAAATTAATACAAATCCATTTTCAACACATATCCAATCATTTAGTTAAAAAAATTACAAAGTTATTACAAAAAAAACTTATAAAGTCCCAAGTAGTTTTATAATAAATATAATAAATAAATTGGCGCTTTATATCAATTGTTTTAAGAAATATTAGTGGCTTTAACTTGGATTATTCAAATATCAGAAAGCTTCAGGTTTCTAATTCAAAATTTATACTAATTTCATGAATTAAATATTAAGAAATTACTATTAAACTGATGAAATACAGTAACAGTATATAACAAATTCAAGGATTTGTAATTCAGTACAATTTTGCAAGCAAATAAAATAAAAGTATTTCATTTTTTGATGAACTTGCCTCTATTAACAAGTGCTACTTATTATTTATATATTAATATTGTATGACTTATCTATTCTTTATTTTTTTGATATTATTATCTTGTATATGTATTTTACAAGAAAAATTATTATTATTATTTTTATCTAATATATATATATATTAATCCTTCTATCTATTATTATTTAGTGACAGACCCATTAGTAAGAAGTTGTTGACTTTCTTCTTGCCAAGGACCATCATCAGTAAATTTGCAACCATTTTTACAATTACATTTTCCACCAAAAGCAACTGGTAAATTTTCAGCTGGAATGTTTTCCAATAAAGTTTGTTGATACTTGCTATTTAAAATTATAATCTTGGCAGTTGTAACCTCATCAAGCAATGGTTTTACTAAACTCCAAACAGAAGAGAAGAGCATTGGAGCATTAATAATATAAAATTTACCCATACGTTCAGGATAATAATTTTGACCAATGTTAGATGCTTGTTTCACAAATCCGAAAACATTAGAGAATGATCGAATAGAAACACCTTTAAGATCCAAAATTGTACATGTTGTCTCAATAAGTTTACCATGTTTAAATGAACAAGCTGGTAGTCTAATATCAGCAAGTCTCTCATACTCGACCACCAAATTTTGAATCTGTCGTTCAATTGTGGTAACTTGATATAAAGATTTGATATCAACTCTACCAATTTCTTCAATATAAATAGGACGACCATCGTTATCAGTTTTGTGATAATATCTTGGATAATGTTTCATCACTTCTTCACGTTCCTTATAATCAAATGTCCTGACCAACTCATCAACACCAAATTCTTTTCTCCAGTTCTCACAGTCGATAAACATTTTTTTGGTTTTAATCAAATCGAATTTTCTTGCTCTTAAAAACCTGAGTAAATAAGCATCATCATGTCGCTTCTCATCAAACACACCTTCATCTTTAAGTTCTTGCCGAAACTGTTCTAATATTTCTGTTTGTTGTGGATTTAAATTTTCAAGATGTCCTGTAAATTTTTGTATTTGCACTTCGGTATTGACTGATTGCGGCATTTTTTTAAAAAAATTGTAAATAAAAATGATTTTTGATTATATTAATTTTTTTTTAAAAAAATCGAGAGTTTATGGTAATATTTATAAATTTATCAATAATTTTTTTAAAGGGTATATAATTATATTTTTTTATATAAAAAGAATGAAAAAAAATTTTTTAAAAAGAAAAATGGATGAATTTTTAAATTTTTTATGATCAATGTTCGCTTTGTTCCTACAACTATTTATAAATAAATTTTGATACAAACAAAATTTTCGAAAGGTTACACGGCACAAATTTTATTTGTTGTTGTTTATTATGTTTATTATGTTTGTTATTACATTAACAACACGAATCATTTACACGGACGGACTTTGCAGGAATGGTGATCAGATTTTGTTCTCTAATTACCTACAACAGGTTTTTTTATATCAATCAAGGAATTATAACTAAAAGAAACATCGCCATTGTCCTCTAACCAAAAATATCATCATCTATTTTATCATCCCAACATAAATTATTATTACCACCAATACCACCTTCCACCACCACCTCCTCTTCATTCAAACCTAAATCAAACACGGCGTGAACTTTAATCATCCAATTGAAGGATGAAAAATGAAAATATTTTTAGAATAATTTTCAACAGATAAGATTTAAGTTATTTCTAATATTTTGATGAAAACTTGATATTAAATATATTCCGCCGTAA